AGCTGCTGCTAGCTCTCTATGGATGATAGTTTTTGGGAATCTGACCACATTTCTGGGCTCACTTCCTGCTCACCCTCCAAGAGTATTTTATATCAGTGGAGGAGAATCCTCTACAGACCTCCAAACACCTGCTTAACAACCCTGTCTACTGTGGATCGGTAGAGCTGCAGGCAGCCTCATCTTTCTCCTGTGGAGGGACTGGTGAGCTTGAACCATTGACCTTGCAGTTAGCAGCCCACTGCACCAATAGGGCTTAATGAATGACCTCAGTAGGATCTTCTGCAGCTGGTAATTCCATCATAGAAGAACCTTTCAAGCATTCTTCTTTTTTCCCCCCAAGCATTCTTCTTTTGAAATAATCTTTTGAACAACCTTACAGTGTATTTACTTTACATAGATTCCTTTATAGGAGGGTGAGATGAAGACCCATGAACTCGAAAGACATATTTGTATGTATACATTTTACTTTGTCTTCGTTTGAAACGTTTTCAGTTTGTCAGAGAACACCAGGAAGTTGTTTCCTTGTATTTTGTTGACTACGTCAAGGTATTCTAATGTGGATCATAACAAAGTATGGTAACCTTAAGAGAAGGGGAATTCTGGGAAACCTAATTGGGCTTATGTGGGATTGTACATGCAGTTATGAGAGTAGAACAAGGGGATACTGTGCATCAGGGTTGTATCCTCTCACATAACTTTTCAACTGTATGCTGAACAAATCATCAGAGAAGCTGGATATTATGAAGAAGGATGTGATATCAGGATTGGCGGAAGGCTTATTAGCAATGTACAATATGCAGATGATACAACCTTGCTGGTCGAAAGTGAGGAGGACTTGAAGCACTTGCTGATGAAGAGCAATGATTGCAGCCTTCAGTATGGATTAGGACTCAATGTAAAGAAGACTCAAATCCTCACAACAGGACCATTCGAAATAAGTGGAGAAAATGTTGAAGTTGTCAAGGATTTCGTCTTGCTTGGATCCATGCTCATGGAAGTAGCAGTCAAGAGATCAAAAGATGCATTGCATTAGGCAAATCTGCTGCACAAGACCTATTTCAATTGTTGAAAAGCAGGGATTACTTTGAGGAATAAGGTGCACCTGACCCAAGCCATGGTATTTTTCAATGGTCTCAGATGCATGTGACAGTTGGATATTGAATGAGAAAGACTGAAGAAAAAAATCAATGCATTTGAATTGTGGTTCTGGAGAAGAATATTGAAAGTACCATGGACTGATATAAGGACAGACTGATTTGTCTTAGATAAAGTATAGCCAGAGTGCTCCTCTTAGAGGCAAGAATGGCAAGGCTTCATCTTACCTACTTTGGACATGTTATCAGGAGACCAGTCCCTGGAAAAGGACATCGTACTTGGTAAAGCAGAGGGGCAGCAAAGCAGAGGCAGGCCCTCAGGAGACGGACGGACACAGTGGCCGCAACAATGGGCTCAGGCCTAGGAACAAAGGTGAGGAGGGCGCAGGACCAGCAGAGTTTCATTCTGTTGTGCGTAGGGTCGCTATGGGTTGGAACTGACTTGATGGCCCCTAACAACAACCTAACAATACAGTGATCTTGTCTCTTCTTTTGAAAAGTTTAAGCAGCGAATGCTTCCACTTGCATTGGCATTAAAACATTGTCAAGCAGTCCTCCCATTTGCCTTAGCTACTGTACGATAAAGAGCAGAATCTCATCTGACATCCACTTTGATCTTTTCTTTCTTATCTTCTTATTTTTTTCCCTTTCTTATCTTTTTAATGACCGTTTGCTTTCTTCATCAGTGATGTTCTTCATGTCCTCCCACAACTCATCAGATCTTCTGTCATTAGCTTTCAATGCAGCAAATCTGCTCTTGAGATGTTCTGAAAATTCAGATGGAATATACTCAAAGTCATATTTTGGCTCTCATGGACTTGATTTAATTTTCTCCAGCTTCAACCTGAGCTTACATATGAACAAATGATGTTCTGTTCCACAGTCTGCCACTGGCCTGGTTTTAGCTGCTAATATTGAGCTTCTCTGTGGCCTCTTTCCACAGATGTAGTCTATTTGGTTTCTATGTATTTCATTTGGAGAAGTTCATGTGTATAGTTGTTGACAAAAGGCATTTGTGATGAAGAAGTTGTTAGTCTTGCAGAATTCTATCATTTAATCTCTAGCTTCATCTCTTTCACCAAGAAGATATTTTCCAACTCTCATTCCTTCCTCTTCATTTCCAACTTTTGCATTCCATTCACCAAAATTATCGATACATCTTGATGGCATGTTTGATTAATTTCAGACTGAAGATGCCGGTAGAGTTCTTCAATGTTTGCATCACTAGTTTTAGTGGTTGGTGTGTGAATTTAAGTTGTATTAATTGGATTTTCTTGCATGTGGAATTGCCTCATATGCATGTAACTGTTGGACAATGATTAGGGAATATCGAAGAAGAATCAATGTGTTTTGAATTATGGTACTGGTAAAGCATCTTGAAAGTACCATGGTTGGCCAAAAGAACAAGCAGACTTGTCTTAGAAGTATGGACAGAATGAAGTAGGGACAGAATGCTTCTTAGAGGTAAGGCAGGCCAGACTTTGTCTCATGCACTTTGGAGATGTCAGGAGAGACCAGTCCCTGGAGAAGGACATCACGCTTAGTAAAAAAGAGGAAGGGCCCTGACAAGAAGGATTGACACAGAGGTTGCAACAATGGGCAAAAACATAAGAACAAATGTCAGTATGACACGTGACCAGGTAGTGTTTCATTCTGTTGTACATACAGTTTTTATGAACCATAACCAACTCGATGTTACCTCACAGCAACAACAACAACAAACCTCAATATTTGGTGGCCAAAGGAAACAGGGGCTATTTTAGGTTGGCTCTCAGTCAAGTGTCCCTAAGTGGCAGTCAAATGTCCTTAAGTGGCATAAATGGTTGTGCACTTAGCTGATATACCTAACAATATTTGAAAAGTGATTTGATCTCACATGGAGGTACCTTGGAAGACAGGCTTGGTAATCTGTTTCTGAAAGGCCACAGTCTTGGAAGAACCTACGGAATAGTTCTATTCTGCACACATGGAGTTACCATGAATAGAAATCGACTTAACAGAAGCAAAACAAAACATAACAACCCGGTCATGCCATTATTTTCTCAGTCCCAAGTTGAACTAAAGAGCTAGAAGTTCTCATAACGGGTGGGCATGGCTGTCTTGTATCTACCTATGGTCTTCTGTGAACATAAGATCAGTCACAGTTGGGATCTTTTGGATGTTGTACATTTTCTACGCTGGTAGATTTTGGGGAC